AATGATGTCTAACACACAGTAAAAACTCAGTATTTGTTCAAAAAATGACTATATAAAGTAAAATAACATTTTGTCATTGTTTCAGAGATTCAAAATTTATCTTAACATGCATTGTTTAAAATATGCAAAACTGCCAACTATTCTTGGGTAGAAAACACTATCCCTGTTTTAAGATTTTATACTTTTTAAGTGTTAAAATATTCTTCCTTTTTCAAAATGATGATCATAGTATATAGTAACTATTTTTTCTCAATGGCCTTATTTGCAAAAATGAGAAATGATTAAAATCTGTCAGTGTCTAATAATTTTTTAGAAATTTTACTGGTCTATGGAATCTAAAAATCTGGAAACTACTGACATGTAAAATTAAAACAACTCATCAGAATATCATTTCAATATCTAGACCAATAGACCCATTGAAACTAATTCTACCCTTCAAAAATCCTCTTCTCTAGTCAAGCCGGTATCTTTCCCAAAGTCAAACCATGACTTTGATTCCCCTGAACCCTTCTTCTGAACTGACTTTCCTCATCATGCCTCCTCTACAGCCTTCTCTTCCTTTATCTAAAATCCATCTAATATCACAAAGCTGTTCCTTACCACTCTACCCTACATTCATCCTTTTCTCATCTGAACACCTCTAGCCCTTTAGCTAGGGCTTAATTCCAAACACTAGTCTGGCTCAAGCTACTAAGTAAGAATCACTTTGTGGAAATTTTTTAAAGGCAGTTTCCAGCATCTCAGTGCAGATCAGAATTTCCAGGATTAGGGTACAAGAGCCAGTAGTTTTTAAAGTTTAGGGAACAAAGAAAGTCTTATTAAATAAAAATAATTTGACCACAATAATAGTTACATGTTTATCCTGAGTCTTCCTATTAAACAACAAATGTGCATGTCCCATGTATAATCATACATATGAAGAGTCTAATTTTGAAATAATTCATTTCAAATTCAACTGTAACATTCTGACACACATACACAGAGGCATTTGTGAAAATGGTGTATTATCATAGAAGGGCACATATTGTAAGGAAATTAATATTCTTAAGTTTATTCAAATGGGCAGCAATGAAATTTTGCTTTAAAAAAACAAGTTAACCTAAATATAGTTTACCAACCTGTTTGTTGTTCTCTGCCATAGAAAGCTGCAATGCCAAGAGCATGGAGTCTGCACCACATAGCGTAGTTCTCTCAGAGTTACAAAGAGCACGCCAGTTCTTTCGAAACTCTTTAATCATATCCAGGACAGACTTCTGATTAAGCACAGCCATTATCTTAAAGTAGGACAGAATACAAAGTTAAAGTACCTTACGTTAACTGGAAATTAACATTTAACATGTATAGGCAAGCACAGATAGAGAAAAATATATAGTGAATGAGAGGTCATTTCATATTTACCAAGATTGCTTTTAATTACATTTAGGAAAACAAAATAATACAATTTCTGCTCAATCATATTTCCCTTCCCTTTGGTTTCTTAAGCCAAACCTTTTGAAAGAACAAAATGCAGCCTTCAATTCTGAAAATTCACACAAAAACAGACAGGCAAATTTACTGCAAACTTATAATTACAAACATAACTAATTAAAGTTGTATTTAAATATATATATTTGTTTTGAGATAGGTAATATCTGATAAATTGGGAAAAAAAAAAAAAACAAAAAACTAAAAAGCCAATTTCTTCCCATCCTACATTGTCCCAAAAGAGGTGGCCTATTTTTCTACCTGTTTGAATCTGGACCAGCCTCGTGACTTGATTTAACCAATAGAATGTGGCAAGAATGACGCTGTGGGAGTTCTGAGCTTAGGCCTTAAGTGGCATGTGCAGAAGTACTAATACAATAGGCCTGAATGCTCTCCTTTGAAGCTGGAGTTCAGTCTGGGAACTTAGATTTCAGGAGCGTTTCCAGTAAGAGTGGTTCACTGGGCTAAATTGTTCATTCAAACAATATAGTTTATGCTAAACACTTGCGAGTCTGGAATTTTGGTACATGTCAGACAGTGGATGCCTTTGCACTTAGCCCCCAATAAAAACCCTGGGCATGGAGTCTCTAATAAGCTTCCCTGGTAGATAATTCACATGTGTTGTCACAACAGGTTACTGGAGGAATTGTGTCCTGCGTGACCACCAGAGTATCACCTAGCAGTGTCCCACCCAAACTGCTGATCCACAGAATCAGAAGGAAAGGGTTATTTTAGAACCTTAACTTTTGAAATGGTTTATTACACTGTACTACATAACCAATAAAATAACTAATATTTAGGAGCTTACTTGGTGGAGATACTTTTCAAAAGCTTAATATTGATTACCTCACTCAATTCTCATAAGTGTCCAATAAGACAGGTCTGTTACTATCCTCATTTTACCTAATATCCTCCATGTCACTCAGCTTGTAAGTGGACAAACAGCGTAAACTTAAGACGTCTAACTCTATAAGCTGTGTTCCTAAAGCATCATATTAAATAACTTCTCCTGATGCACACAAAAGCCTTTCAAAATAATTTGAGGCAGTGCCATTGTTTCACGTACCCAAGACTACATAAGGCATCCAATTCCTTTCTCTGAGTTTACAGACATGCCTGCTAAAAGTTTTTTTCCTACTTTAGGTACTCAAGTCTAGGCATACTCACATGCCCATCATCTTATTTTGGGCATTTTCCTGCACTCATTCCATTTCCTGACTCCTGCTATGCATTTCTTCTATTTTTATGTGGCATAAACAGAATTCTAGATGTTTACTGGCATCTTTGGTTTGTATAATCAAGAACAAAGACATATGCCACTTGCAAAATAATTAAATTATAGATACAATCTATGATGCAACTTAAAGATACAGGTAGAAAAATCAGAGATTAATTATTTACATAAATGCAAATCCTAGTAAATAGCTAAGAGTTGTATTTCTCTTCAAAAAATCACCCTCATCTCTTGAAAGAAAAAAAAAGTGAGTAAGTGTCAGCTTCAGTGACATGGTCACTTTGCCTGAAATAAATTTTTAGGAGTAAATTACTTACCAGCATTATCTAAAGGTCATATTATGAGATTTGATTGCTATGAATGAAGACTCACTTGGGAATTAGACTATTCTGAAATGTGGCTCCACCACTTACTGGCTGCGAGATCTTGGCCAAGTTATATCACCTTTCCCTGTCTCAGCTTCCTCATAATGAAAATGAAAACCCTATCCCATAGGGTTTTATGACGAGTAAACAACGTAAACACAAGTAAAGCTTTTAGAACAGTGCCTGGCATGTATAAAAGCACATTAACTATTATCACGCATTATGAGTTTCTAAGTTGTTTTGAGTTAAAAGTAAAAGAGCATTGGCCTGGCATGGAGGTTCACACCTGTAATCCCAGCACTTTGGGGAGCCGAGGCTCACCTGAGGTTAGGAATTCGAGACCAGGCTGGCCAACATGGTGAAATCGTGTCTGCTAAAAATTAGTTGGGTGTGGTGGCACGTGCCCCAGCTACTCGGGAAGCTGAGACAGGAGAATTGCTTGAACCAGGGAGGCGGAGGTTGCAGTAAGCCAAGATAGCACTACTATACTCCAGCCTAGGTGACAGAGTAAGATTCCGTCTTAAAAAAAAAAAAAAAAAAAAAAAGCATTACTATGGTGACAGAAAACCAATAGTCTCATTCAGGGATCAGCTAACTTTTTCTAAAGGAACAAACAGTAAATATTTGAGGCAGGCACAACTACTCATTTTGACCTTCTAGTGTGAAAATAGCCACGGACATACATAAACAAACAAATAAGCACAGCTGTGCTACAATAAAACTTTTTTTATGGACATTGAAATTTGAATTTCATGTAATTCTTACACATCACAAAACATTATTCATTTTTTCCCCAACCATATAAACATGTAAGACTCATTCTTAGCTAAGGAGCTGGCTGCACAAAAACAGGCAGCACAGCTAGTTTGCCAACCCCTGGTCTAGTCCCAGCTCTTCCTGTAGTTAGCTGGCTGAGGGAGCCTATGCGATAAGCTTACACGTGGTTGCCTAGGTGGATGCATCATTATACAGAAATACTTGCCTTCCAGTCCCTTGTGAGGAGTCAATGAGACAATAAATATGCCAGCACTCTGAATGGCAGGCTGCACTATACAAGAAAAAAAAAAAAACAGTAGCCAAAGGCAGCAGCGATAACACTTGTTTTTAAAAAATTGGATTCCAAGCTGCTCTAGAGCAAAAACTGTGAGACAAAAAATTGTCACCGGGCAGGCAGTGTGAAATGGTTGAAAGAACTACATTTTCCAGTCAGATATCACTTCCAGGCTCCCCCATCTATGACCTGTAGTCCTTCGGTATTTAAAATCTCTAATGAGCATAAGTTTCTTCACCTGCAAAACCAGGAAGGGAATTCCTACCTCACAGAATGAGACGTCAGTGCAACGAGTACACAACCCACCTAGTGCCAGGCATTTAGTGGGTGCTCAATTAAAAAACTGCACTCAACATCATTATCAGTGTTAGAGTGCAAGTCCCAAAGGTTCCTTGGGAAGCTGTAACTAATCAGGAGTAGGAGAAAGTTGAGGAATTGGAGTCTGCGTGCATAGTGGGACTAGAATCCTGATTTCCTGCCTAACTAATGGAAGTTAAGCAGGCCTCTATCGGCCTGTCTTCCAAGCTGCAGACGAACCCTCAGGACCTTCCAGCTCCATCGCTAGATACTGTGAACTTCACCTACAGCCCCCAGGCCCAACCAGACTCGAGAGCGAAGTCACTGCACCATAATACTTCGGTCCCACAGCACTTTGCTACGACCGGGTATTATAGAGCAAAACACCCTCAAAAGCCACAGCCTGAAACATCACTTAAAAATGCGACAGTGCGGATGGGGCAGACGCGAGATTTACCTGGTTAGGGGTAGACCCGAAGACGTACGCTTGAGCTTGCGGAAAGTTCCCCCAAGAACAGCCCTCCCACGGCCGCCTCAGTCGCCGCTGAATACATTTCAAACCTCGCGGGAGACCTCGGGAGCCAATCGCTGTGCTCGCCCTCCGACCCGGAAGCAGAGCCAGAGCGCGTCGCGGCAGCCCCCAACGAAGACCGGCTTGTCTCTGGTCGGTTCCCGGCGCTCTGCGGTGCGTATCGAGCGGGGAGCCCAAGAGGCCGCGATGCTTTTCTGCCGGCCGCCCAGCCCTGCCATTCTATCCCCAGGAGTTCTTCCTTCCCACCTCGGGCCGCGGGAGGTGGGAGCGGGGTCTTGAGGAACTCGCCTGGCCAGGGGAGAGGTGTCGGGGCTCATTGCAGGGAGTTATCTTGTTCCCTCCCTTCTTCTCTGCCCTTCTAGTTTTACAGGGGCAAGTCCTGCCGAACGTGTATGGTGAGGCCCTGGGCACTGCTTTAATGGGCAGTAGGTGTGGGAACTGCACAATATCCTGACCTCGAATCTCTTGCACTTCCTATACCTCTCTGCCTCCATGTCCATAACACTTGCTGGTCACCCTTAACAAGTTTCCAGTCCCGGATGTCCATTCCTAAGGTTACTAGTTTATAAGCGTCTCGAGGTGGGACTCATCTGATTCTCAGTAGATACTGTTAAGGTACTTGATATGTTTGTTACTGAGCCCGTCTGTTTTCAGGACAACGCTTGTGTCGAATTTTTTAAAAAACCAAAAACTCTAAAACCCGTAATTCTCCTGTGGGAATGCTACTTCCAGAGTGCACACTAGTCCCTGACGGTTAAAGTCTTGTGCCTAGTTTTAAGAATATTACTATTTTAAATTTTATTATAAGTTCCGGGATACGTGTGCGGGACGTGTAGGTTTATTACAAAGGTAAACGTGTGCTATGGTGGTTTGCTGCGCTTGTCAACCCATCACCTAAGTATTAAGCTCCACATGCATTAGCTATTTATCCTGATGCTCTCCCTTCCCCCAGCCCCCCAACATTATTTTTGTATCACAAATTTTGGCACTCCTTACAACAGATCCTGTATTTTGTATCTGTTTATATTGTAGCCCTTTTCACGTTGAGTCATAACTATCGTGGTCTCCTTTAAGCCAGAAGGCTGTTTTTTTCTTCATTAGCACTGGTTCTCCACACACAATGAAGTCTTCCAATTCCTGGCCCTGCTTACAAGCTTGGCAAGTTAGTTAACCTACTGAAGCTACAGTTTCTCCATCTGCAAAATGGAGACCAGAGGTAGTACCTGCCTTTAGATTTGTACAGATACTAGATGTGGTCATGTCAGTAAAATCCTTAATGTGGCACCTGCAAATAGTGGTTCATAAAAGTTATTTTTATTAACATATTTGCTATTAAAATGATTCCATCTTCAGATGGAATACTTTTTGTTTTAGATAATCTAAACAGAACTTTATGGTGTTTTTGTCTGCTAGAATCACAGATACGGGAAAAAGCTATAGAGCCAATGTGGAACCATTAATAACTAGATTTAATATTTTTCCTTCAGTTTCTGTCCCTTGATAAGTACTTTAAATGTTTCTTTTGAGCTTTCTGTCTCATTGTAACACCACAACCTTATTTTGATGCATTTGCTTAATGACTAACACTTCAACCATTCTAATTGTACCTGTGCTGTAATCCACAGTTTCGTGACCTTGTCCAGTAGAAGGCTATTTAATTTTCACAACTGCTTGAATTTTGACATACAAGATGAAGCAAGATGCCTCAAGAAATGCTGCCTACACTGTGGATTGTGAAGATTATGTGCATGTGGTAGAATTTAATCCCTTTGAGAATGGGGATTCAGGAAACCTAATTGCATATGGTGGCAATAATTATGTGGTCATTGGCACGTGTACGTTTCAGGTTAGTCTACAAAACTGCACCGAATGACAGTGAACATATTTCACTGATAACAGAACTTACACAAACCAAATCTAAACTTTGAAAGTATATTGAGTTTGAATGTTAAAAAAAAAAAAAAGATAACACCCATAGTGAAAGATGTTCCCAGTTATATGTGCCTGAGATTTATGTAAACATTATATAGATAGTGAAAAAGAATAGTATGAGGCTTCTCTTTTGCTTCATGATCATTAATGGAATATTCTGATAACTGAAGGCTATGATTAACTGAACAATAGTATGTACAGGAAAAAAAACAATATAAATGAGATCCAATTAATCACGGTTTTTCTACATCCTGCTTTGACATACGAAACCAGCTAATATTGAGAGCCTGGAAAATGATCTTCCAGGAGATTTTATAGCTTTTATAATATTCAGCTTTCCTATTAGTATGCTGTCATACTTTTTGTGCATCTGAAGTATGCAGAGTATGGAGTCTTATTAATTGAGGAGGCAGTTAAGCATAGCTATTAAGAGCGTGAATTCTAGAACTAGAATGCCTACATGTTTACTCCTGCTTTACTTACCTCTTACTAGCTATGAGACCTTGAATAAGATATTTAGCCTCTCCTGTAAAAAAGAGGAAAACAATGCTCAAATTTTAGTATGTGTAAAATTCCGAGAGGGCATCTGACAACATTGTAATCCATATATATGTTTTAGTTGCCTTTGATATGGGCAATGGTAACACTCTCAGATTTAATCACCAAAGTAACATTGCTTTGTGGTGAACATAAACCATGTCTTCGCAGAGGAAAACTAGTTTTACATGTAAGAGAGACTTTGAACAACAAAGGTTCAAGCGTCAGGACTATCTGGCTAATCCTTTGTCAGAATATTATTATTTTTTTATTATTATTATTATTATTTTTGAGACAGTCTTGTTTGGTCGCCCAGGCTGGAGTGCACTGGTGTGACCTTGGCTCACTACAGCCTTCATCTCCTGGGTTCAATTGATTCTCCTGCCTCAGCCTCCTGAGTAGTTGGGATTACAGGCATGCGCCACCACACCCAGCTAATTTTTGTATTTTTAGTAGGAGGTTTCATGATGTTGGCCAGAGTGGTCTCGAACTCCAGACCTCATGTCATCTGCCCACCTTGGCCTCCCAAAGTGCTGGGATTACAGGTGTGAGCCACCCTTCCTGGTCTATCAGAATATTATTAATAGAATTGTATTTCTCAAATTATAATTAATACGGTAATTTGGAAGTGTCCAATTTTCTAAGGTTTAAAATAACTATCACTAAAGTGATATTATATCATTATAAATGTTATTTCCTCCTTTACTGAAAAGGCAATTCTGTATCTTTTTTTTTTTTTTTTGATATGGAGTCTTGCTGTGTCACCCAGGTTGGAGTGCAGTGGTGCGATCTCTGCTCACTGCAACCTCTGCCTCCTGACTTCAAGCGATTATCCTGCCTCAGCCTCCTGAGTAGCTGGGATTACAGGTGCATGCCATCATGCCCAGCTAACTTTTTTGTATTTTTAGTAGAGACAGGGTTTCACCATGTTGGTCAGGCTGGTCTTGAACTCCTGACCTCGTGATCCGCCTGCCTCAGCTTCCCAAAGTGCTGGGATTGCAGGCGTGAGCCATCATGCCCAGCGGCAATTCTGAGTCTTACAGTATTGTGACATCAGAAATGCAATTTGGCATTTTATAGCACAATAAATATATAAAGCTTTACAAATTGGAATATAGTCATATTTAAGAGGAAGTATGAATTAAAAGTTTCAGTTTGTTGCTGTCTGAGTAGAATATGACAGCTCCTAGGCTATTTCATACTGTCTCTTTGGGTGGGGGGGTAGAAATTACTACCTTTTAGACTAAATATGACCCTCAGCCTCACTTACATGGACATGGTTTAGGATCATAAAAAGTTATATGATTAAAACAATGTTACATACTTGAAAAAGACTGAGGAAAAACCATTTGTCTAATGCAGGCCACCAATGCACAAAAGAGTAAAGCAGCCTCCTACAGGTAAAACTAATTTTTAGTTCATTACTTCTAAAATTAATAACTGAACATAAAATTGTATTCAAAAACACTGAAAAATGTTTATCTCTCATTTATGATTAAGAAATGTTGAGAGAGAAAGTCAGTGGAGAACAAATTAGGAAAAGAGAAAGGCAAAGATGAGAGAGGGAGAAGATGGGAGAAAGAAGGAAAATGACAACGTGAGAAAAAAGAACTAGTATAAACATTTGTGTTCTGTTACGTTTTATGGTCACATGTATTGTCTCAGTTGACCCTCATACCTGTGAGATTAGCAATGTAGGTCTCATGCCCAAATTACTAAGGAAAAAATTAGATTTTTATTAATTTGGACAATAGTAAACACAAATTATATTCTGCACCAGACATTGGAAATACAATTAAGTAAGTCCATTTCAAAATAAATTACTGCTTTTCTTTGAAGTTATTTTTTATCTAGCTAAACACTGTTAAACATTATTACTATTCTGTTGTCCTAGAACCTTCAAGTTCCATTGCACCCAGTTTCATACCTCTTGTCTTGAGAGAAAACTAAGTAAAGGTAAATTAAGTGGAAAGATTTCCACATTCCTGTCAGAAAGATAATCCTTATTTAAGGCTATTTAGAAAACGTTGTAGATATAGTGAATTTGAATTTCAACAAAGCATTTTTCAGAATCTCATGCTGTCCCTTTGATTATGATGGACATATGAGCTTCTGCACGATAGTACTGTTAACTGGTGTCATGTATTTGTCAGATATTCCTTAAGTGCATACTTGGTGCCAAGACATGAAAAAAGCAAGGACCGTATCCTTAAGGAAATATTTAAATATAAAGCAGAGCAATAAGAAAACTGCTATAAAAACCTTTGTTAAAGGGCAGAGGAGCATGAACATGTATGCTTGCCTAAATCAGTGTTCTTGTCCAAGTTCCACTAGAGGCCTCAATTCACTAATGAAGACCCCTTGAATAGACTTAGAAATCTGCTATGTATTTTACACTTTTTAAAGTGTACATGTATCAAATAGAACTAGCCACATTTCACGTGCTTCATAAGGTCCTGTATGGCTAGTGGCTACCATATCAGACAGCACAGTTCTCTCTGCATTTTCCTCTGTAAATTGACAATAATCTTTAATATAATAATAATACTCTTTAGTTCTCAGCAATATATTATGATTCAGAGAAGATAATATATTTTAATACAAATTTCAGGGTAGTATCTAAATGTTTAAAACTGTGAAAGAGGTATTAGACTCAGAATGGTAAATGGATTTTATGTTATTTGTCACTCTATTTGAGTGGACAGAGTTGTTGCTTATAATGCTTTCAGGCTGAGGCTGAATCCGCTGCTTAGTGTGTCTTCACCTAGAGGAGATCAGCTATGGCCAAATACTTGCCATCGTTAATTTAGACTGACTTGGTGTGGTTCCAGAGATGGAACATGGAATAATGAGTAGAATTTACATGGAAACAGATTTTGGCTTAACGTTAAGAACTCTTCTAATAATTAGAGTTATTCCCCAATTGAATAAACTTTCCAAAGAAGTAGCTAGTTCCCTCTCACTGGAAGTGTTCAGAGAGAGGGGTTGTGTAAACTCAGATGCTCTCCTAGGGATTCAAGCATTAGGGGAAAGAATTGAACTAGAGAAAATTCAGTCTTGACTAACTGAAATTCTGTATTTGGCCTTAAATGGGTGTGGTAGGAGGGCCTGCCAGTTTCAAACCTTATAATAGCACTTCCATCAACCTGGCTTTGCCCCAACCTCAAATAACCGAAGCCTTGTATAATCATTTGTATTATAGCAAGTTTTCCAAAGTGTCTTAATTTCCTGCCTATACAATTCTGCTTACACCCCAAACTAAATCCAAAATAGCATTTGTCTCTGCCTATACCACACACACACCCTGGCCTTTTAGTTGGCTCAGTGGCAAACAGTGCTGCCAGGAAAAAAGGTTTCACTGGTAATATAAAAAGCCCAGGCTATACAGTCCCTGGGATTTCTTTATCCCCATGACCACCCAGTAATCCCGTATGTGATTTGGGTAACAAATTATAGGACCTGATTGTCAATAATATTGTTACGGTAGCAAGATGATGTGTATTTACATGTAAAAACTTCATTTTTAAGAGACTGATTTGTCAAGTTTGGAAAAATAGATGTAATCCAAACTGTGAAGTCAGCTATGATTAGGCTTCTAAACTTATTTTAAAATTGCTTAGTGGCTGCTGTCTTGGCGTATCTGGCTGTTAGCTATACAACTATTATACACACAAATTACGAAGTAGTAAAATTTGACAGTGTTTTTCTTTCCTTGATATGTGTATTTCTATTCTTTCATTTATGGAAAAACTTTGCTGTTAACTTTAAGTTCACCTGAAATTTGAAGTTATTTTCAAAGGGTATCTGAATTATATAGAGAAAGATGTGTAGTATGTTTGTGAAATGACTTTACTAGGATCCCATAGGCTATCCTGGAAAAATCAGTATATCTACTTGGATTTCATTCGAGTATACATTATAAAACTTTGCATTTAGATTCTGGGTGAATGGAATTCTTAGATCAGGCCTTCAAGTAATTCCTATCAATATAGACATACGTATTTCATTAAATATCAAGTTTCACCTGCTAGATTTTTTTTCCCTGATACTAAAAATAACTAGTTAACACACAAGATTTCTTGGACAAATTTGTCATGAAAATTTGGCGTTAGTCTCTAGACCCAGTTCAGGTATTGATTTAAATAACAGAACAATGATATACTTATTTTTAAAATTGCAAAAAATTTTTTATCATTTTTTTTTAACCTTTCCTATGGTGCTGAGCAGTATTTTAATGCTTATAAAATATGTGTTATCCATAAAGGCATAAAGAATAATAAGATGAATCCCTATATACCTGCTGCCTATTTTAAGAAAAGGAACATTAGCAATTCTTTTGCGGCCCCCTAAGTATCCTTCCCTTACTCATGGTAGGTATTTTGCATGGCAGGGTTTTCTTTTTGTTTGTCTATTTTTTCCTGCTTCCCCCTTAAGGGCCCTGGATCTATGCAGAGATCTCTGATCTGGCATCCTTCCTTGTCCTGGCACTAGGATTTGTCTCCTCTCTCTTGCAAACTGAAGCTTTAAATCATTGCATGTAGGCAGATGCCCTTATAACAGCTGCATACCTTGGTAGTTGTTTGCTTGTCTGTATTTGAATTTTTGCAGTGTTGTAATGGGAGAACTTATCAGGTTATTGTCCCCATTGCCAGCGATGGATGGCTTGACTTTTAAAGTTGATTTTTTTTCTCACCTTCCCATGAAGATAAACTGAAATCATTCTAGTAGGGCTGAACTAGATAAATAAGCCAACTTTATTAAGCATTTATTCCCAGAATCAAATATCTAAAACTAACCAGATTATTTCTTACATATTCACTATTCATAGACTGTAATAGTCCAGATGAATTATTTGTAGCATCTTACACACATATAATGCCACATGTAACACTACATGAACATCGTTGACACTGATTATAAAGACTTTGAGATCTTTATGAGGTCCCAAGGTATTTTCCATGTAATCAAAATGTTCAGTGTATTTTTTTAAATATTGTCAGTAGATAATCCGGTTCTGGTAATTCATTTACCTAGAATATTTTGATTCTTTAGAGCATTCCATTTTCTTTGTTTTCTTTTTTTATAAAGTAGAGACAGGTCTCACTATGTTGCCCAGTCTGGTCTAAGACTCCTGAGCTCCAGCAATCCTTCCGCCTCAGCCTCGCAAAGTGTTGGGATTATAGACGTGAGCCAACACGCCTGACCAAGCAGTCCCTTTTCATTGAACTTATTATGAAATGCCTCCTAAGATAAAGTGGAACATATTTACTGTTTGCTTCTAGTTGCCTTAGAGAGTTATTTTGTGAGGCCTAGACAACTTTGGATTTTTTTTTTTTAATTCAATGAACTGGTTAAATCTTAATATGTAATTTGCTTTTGAACTTTTCAAAAGCATAAACATAACCTTCTGATAAATTCATTATAATGAAATACAGAATATTATATTGTTTGTTCTCATTACTTACTAAAACATTTACTGTGTATGCTTAGGAAGAAGAAGCAGACGTTGAAGGCATTCAATATAAAACACTTCGAACATTTCACCATGGAGTCAGGGTCGATGGCATAGCTTGGAGCCCAGAGACTAGACTTGATTCACTGCCTCCAGTAATCAAGTAAGTTTAACAGTACCAAATGCATTCTTTACTAGTGTACTTTGATTGTGTTACATGATCTGAAGTCTGATCATAGATACTTTTTTCTCTATTTCCATTTTCCACAACCCAAGATACTAGATATTTTGATACTTGCTACTACTTAATAATTTAGGCTTATCATCTGAATTTGTAATTTAAAGATACAGCCATGACTGTGATTCTTTGACCATGTGTTTCAGATACTGAATCAAGGTCTTTACAGATTGTTCACTGAATTTACAACTTAATTGAAAGTACAACTCTTAAAATAACTAAATGTAGTTGAGATGTTAATGAGCTTTCCTTCCCCACACATAGGCCAAGATCACATTTTCTTGTCTAACAGTATGTAAATCTGTAGTTCTGGTCCTTGGACTTCAGTTTTTGTGAAAGTGTTTAAAAAGAATGATGGTTTTCTGAGAAAAAATCCTAGCAATGCCTGCTGAAACCCTCTTTACAGGGGCAAGAATATGTTAGGTTATTTAAGATTTGTTACAAAACACTAGCCTTGCCTCCTACAAATGTCAAATCTAAAAGATGTGTCTTTTTTAGTAAACAGTTCTTAGGAACTAAAAGTTATCAACTATTAAGCTAACTTCATTTTTTAAATTAAGGGATAATTTAGATACTCTGATATTCTTAGCTGTTAAGGGTACAGTTTGATCAGTTTTGACAAATGCATATTCTGTATAATCCACACCCTATTCATGCACAGTGTTTCTGTCACCCAAGAAAGTTTCTTCATATTTCTTCCCAGTTAATCATTGTACCCCACTCCCTACAGAAGCAACCATTGATCCGATTTCTATTACCAGAAATCAGTTTTGCCTGTTCTAGAACTTCATATAAGTGGAATGATACAGAATGTTTTTTGTGTCTGGCTTGTTTTTGCAATTTTTCCACATTGTTATGTATACCAGTGCTTTTTAAGTAGTACTTCATTGCAGTGTATCAATAGACCATAGTCTGTTTATTCATTCTTCTATAAATGGGTACCAATATAGTTTCCAGACTTTAGTTATTATTTTTTGCTGAATACTGCTTTGGGTGGTTATATGATTTAATTTATCTTAGGAGTAGAATTGCTGAGTCACAGGGTAGATGTATGTTTAACATTTTAAGAAAGTGCCTGTTTCTAAAGTGGCTCTACCATTTTGTCTTTTCCCCAATAATCTAAGGGTGGTCTTCTTACTCTTCAACACTCATTCATTCATTTTGAGATAAGGTCTGGCTCTGTTGCCCAGGCTGGAGTACAGTGGCACCATCTCCACTCACTGCAGTCTCTACCTCCCAGGCTCAAACCATCTTCCCACCTCAGCCTCCTCCTGAGTAGCTGGGACTATAGGCGCCCATCATCATGCCTGGCTAATTTTGGTATTTTTTGTAGGGACAGGGATTTGCCTGTCCCTACAAACTGTTGCCCAGGCTGGCCTCAAACTCCTAAGCTCAGGCAATCCACCTGCCTCGGCCTCCCAAAGTGCTGAGATGACAGTATCAGCCACCATACCTGGCCTATTCTCCATTATTTACTATTGTAAATCTTTTTTTTTTTTTTTATAATACAGGGTCTCACTCTGTCACCCAGGCTGACAGCCAGACCCGTGATCACAGCTCACTGCAGCCTCAACCTCCCTTGGCTCAGCCTCAACCGTCCCTCTTACCTCAGCCTCCCAAGTAGCTGGAACTACAGGCATGCACCACCACTCCCAGCTAAGTTTTTGTATTTTTTGCAGTGATGGGGTTTTGCCGTGTTGCCCAGTCTGGTCTCGAGCACCCAGGCTCAAGCAGTTTACCCACCTTGACCTCCCAAAGTGTTAGGATTACAGGCATAAGCCACTGTGCCCAGCCTGTCTTTTTAATTTTAGCCATTCTAGTTGATGCCACAATGACATTTCCGTGATGACTGATGATGCTGATGCTTTTTTGGTGTATTCGTTTCTTCTATTAGAAATCATTGTGTGATTTCTTATAGGTTGTGAAGATGTTGCATGTTTTTTCCTAGAAGCCTGTACCGATATTTAGCTAACTTAGTTTTGAATAATCTACACAATAGCATTTGTCAGCATACGTAATGTCATTGCCAGCAGCCAGTGTGCTGTTAGTTTCCTTTTATATTAAAAGAAAGTGGTCACAATATCTAGACCTAAACAAGAACAAGTCTCTGATTCTTTAAATTTTGAAAGCTGTGGAAACAGTCTTTTTCCCTTGGTTTTAAGTTTTGTGATACTTTAATCTAGATATTCAGCTGTTGTATTCTATACTCTCCTTGTTGCTTGGTACTTGTTTTCCTGTCCTCTTTTTAGTGAATTTGCTGTGTTTCATCATTTCTGGTTGGTGTATTTGTTTGGTTGGTTTTTTCTTATTTTTTGGTAAACTGTCTCAAGTCCTTTTTGGAACTGTACAAATATCAGTAACAAATTCGAAAAACATTAGCAGGTCATTAATTTTAGACTATTTTTAGAGCAAGATGACAGCACAATCTTGTTTTCAAATAAATTATTTTTTATTATAAAATAATAAATGCTTAATAGATAAAATTTAGAAAACACAGAAAATAAAAAGGAGAATGCCACCTGTACTCCCAATACCCTTTTCATTTTTGTACATAATTGTACGTAATTATGATTATACTAGAGTAACTCTCTATACTTTTTTTACTTTACTTTTTTATAGTATTCTAAAATAAATAGTCTGTCACCATGACTAAGGTATAACTCAGCATCTCTCTTATCATCATTAATTTTTATCTTACATTTAGAAACCCTTTATGATGGCTTATCATTAGCATGTAGTTGCCTTAAATTCTCTTCTCCCTGCCTTTCTACTCTTTCCATCACTACTTGCTTTTCTTTTACAGTGGCCAGAGAATTCATTGTTCATCTTTTTTCAGTTCTCTGAGATTTTCTGGTTCAGTTAAAGAAGGACTTAAATATCCCTAAAACAGCAAGGATTCAAAGAAAAGTGGAGCAACACAAGGCTGGCCATAAAGTTTTCTGGGTTTGTTTGTTTGGTTTTATTTAGATCCTAGTAAGATTATAAATTTTCTTTTTAAGTAAGTATTCTTTGATTACTGTAACTCCTCTGTTTGCTGACATTTTTACTGAACTTGGCCTCATTTTGCTATTAATACCTCTTTACAAACCCTCTTAGTTGGGATATTTCTTTTAACAACTTCCAAAATAGCTTTTATCTGTTTTAGAGGTGACATTTTGAACAAAGTTTTGTTATAACTGAGGAAATCGACTGAAGGAGACCCTCAACATGAGTGATATTATTGTGGCAAATTTGTGTAGAGTTTCCTATGAGCAAAGAAATAATGAATTCCCATCCCCCAAAATATTAATGGGATAAATTCAAAGGAGAAGAATTAGGTAGAATAAGCTTTGTTTTACAGTTTTTTCTTACCCTTTATTTGCATGTATAAAATATAGCATACATGCTTAAACATACATATAGTATGTATTAGAGTTCTCTAGAGGGACAGAACAAATAGGGTAGGTGTATATATGAAGGAGAGTTTATTAAGGAGTATTGACTCACATGATCACAAGATGAAGTCCCACAATAAGGCGTCTGCAAGCTGAGGAGCAAGGTAGCCAGTCGGAGTCCCAAAACCTCACAAGTAGGAAGGCCAACAGTGCAGCCTTCAATCTGTGGCCTAAGGCCCAAGAGCCCCTGACAAACCACTGGTGTAAGCCTACGAGTCCAGAAGCTGAAGAACTTGAGTCTAATGTTCGAGGGCAGGAAGCATCCAACACAGGAGAAAGATGAAGGCTGGAAGACTTAGCAAGTTAGCTCCTTCCACTTCCATCTGTCTGTTTTTTCTAGTTGTGCTGGCAGCCAATTGGATCGTGCCCACCCACATTGTGGGTGTGTCTTTCTGAGGGTGGGTCTTCCCCTTCCACTCCACTGACTCAAGTGTTAATCTCTTCTGGCAACACCCAGAAACACCCGAATACACCCAGAATCAGTACTTTGTATCTTTCAATCCAATCAAGTTGACACTTAATATTAACCAGCACAGAGTATATATGTGCATTGTAACATGTTTATTATAAACACTCATGTAGTCATCACAGAGGTCGAGTGATAGGACATTGCTAGCACTTGACGTTGCCAGTGTGCCCTTCTCCAATCAACCTTCTTCTTTCCCCTTAAAGGCTGTCAGTTTCATGTTTATTAGGATAATTATCTCCTTGCTTTTTTTTGTAATTTTATCAGTTACTGATGCATCCCTGAGCAATATAGCTTAATTTTGTCTGCTTATGAACTTTCTTATGAATAGAATAATACTATATGTATTTTTTTGTCCTGCTTTGTTCACTTCACATTATATATATGAGATTCATCCATGTTTCTACTTGTAGATCTAATTATTTATTACTATGTAGTATTTCGTTGTGAGTCTATGACAGTTTATGCATTCTATTAATACTATATTTCCAGTTTGGGGTTCTGAATGTGCTGTTTGAACATTACTGTGCATATATATCATAATGTACATGTGCACATTTTTTTTTTTTTGAGACAGAGTCTACCCTTAACATACTTGAAACATACTTTTCCCCTAACAGCTGACACATATTTCTTCAGTGTTTCTTAGGCCTTTTCTTTCTCCTCCTTTTCCCCTTTTTTTTCCTTGTCTTGTCCACTTGTGAAAGGTGTGAAGAATGATTGGGGAGATGGACTGACAGGTCAACCAAAGGGAAGCTGACTAGCCTAGACAGGGGAGTTTGAACTAAAGTGGGCAAAATTCTGATATCAAAACTTGGGCATTAGCAACCTATCATTCCATGTGTATGCCAATGCAGAATAGGAGGGGATTTTTTTTTTTTTAACGTGTTGTCATTGTTACCAAAACACGAGGGATTGGTCTAGGCCCTGTTGCGTACCACACAGAAAGCCAGTGACTAAGACAACGAGTATTGCAAGGGAAGAAGGCTTTATTCAGGTGCTGCAGCTGAGGAGATGGGAGATAA